GGGGGCCACCAGCATGACGTCTCCTTGGGAGTTACAAGAACACACAGAGGATTAAAACATTTCCCCTGAATGTTTCTAACATAGTGGTAGTTGACATTTCTGAAAAGTTTTTTTTCAGTATTTCCTTTTCCATCTAATATTTTGAGCAGTGTAAGTGTGTAGATGTACAGTTAAAGGGAATTTTTAATACTTTAATGTATTCCCCCCACTGGTCAAGTCATTTCTTAAAGCCTTATCAAGGTGTTTCCTCAGTTCATAGCTTAGTTTTATCTTAAACGATCTGTCGGTTTGTTTTTGTCGTCATTTGGCTCCCGTCCTTCCTTTTCTTTGTTTGTTTGAAACATCGCTTGTCCTCCTGCCACTTTTCTTCTTCCTCAAACATAATCAGATGTTTTTCATTTAGTTGTGATGGTAAATTGGTGTGTCTTATGTTTTTAAATACTTTGTCTGGTGAGTCATTACCATTTTAAAAAGCACAGATAGCTGCTGTGTTCATTCCGGTCATCAGGTTTATTTATGTGGTTTTGTGTTCAGTCAGCATTCACGCTGCAAGAAGCTAAAGTGTCACTGTTTTCGTTTTTCATTTAACTTGTTACTTGTTTAAGTGGATATTTTCATTCCAAATAATGCAAAAAAGTCACCAGACTTTTTTTTTAAAACAACTATCAGAGCTGCAGGTTGCATCGTAGTGTGTACTCTGAGTAAATACTCCATACAAAATCCTCTCATCTCAGCCAGAACATCTGACTAAATCTCTCGATATTCAGACACCGACAGCCCGTCAGGGGCAGTTGAGCTCACAGCATAACTTCAGTCGCTCATTCAGTTAAATGACTACCACAGTTTACTTTTGCTTTGATTTCATTGTGTTTTAATTTGTGTGCTATTGTGTTTGCCTATGTCAACATGGAAGCCGCACAGCTGAGACCTAAATCTGATATTCACTCACACACACACCATGTATCAGCATGACTGATTTACATAACCTCAGCTCAGACGTGAAAAGACACGAGAGGAATTTTGTTTAGAGGAAATAAAAGTAAAACATTTATCACAGTATCTTTAGAAAACACAGCTAGCTTGTGACTACTTTGCCTTCAGTCATTGACCTTTTAGTTGCTGCTGTGTCACTCATCTTTATTAATGCATATAAGCACACACATGTATAACCCCAGCTGTACGCTGTAGCTTAAGGTTATATTCGTACGCTATCAGCAAAGAAGCAGCAGTGTTTCCTTAATGGTGCTTCGGTGGTGTTAATTAGCTGGTGAACAGGCGTTCCATAATTATATCACATTCATTCATTTCTCAAAGGCTGTCGCAAAGTTACTTTCATTCCTTTGAATCATAAAGTGGTAACTGAGTTGTTTCCTCGTCTGGTGCGGGTGGAAAAAACACAATGGACAAGGGAAAAAAATGGGGGACAAAGAATGGTGAAAAGGTGGGAATGTGGATTGTGAGACTGAGGAAAGAGAAGTGTATTAGACCATCAGAAATGAAACGAGCTAATGAAATGAGTGTCATTAAAAATGCAGCAGATCCCTCAGAGGAGCATACTTGAAAAGAAAGAAAAGGGTAAAACTGAGTGAGTGTGTTGTTTAGTTCCCACAGAAATGTGAAGAGTCACCAAATAACCTTGGAGGAAGTTTCCTTTATTTGTTAATGGAAACAGACACACACAGACGGAGTCACTGTCTGTGTCTCACACTTAAACAATCAAGCATTTAGGTGTAAGGACATCCTCAGAGGAGACTGTGCTAATGAGCAGGGACTCCAGTGAACCTGCTATCTTTGAAGTGCCTTTCTCGCACACGCACAAATGAGTAAGCTATCTTTGAACTGTTAGCTCTGTGACTAATAGAATTGCACTGGGCCCTTTGTCTAGAGATTTCTGCAGGGTGCACACACACACGCTTGATGATGTTATGAAGATGCAAAGCAGCACACAAATTGGTAAACATAACAGATATATACAGTTGTGGTAGAAAGTACCTTTTCAGTTCCAAGGTTTTACTTTTATCAGGATGCAATAAAAAGCATCTGGTCCTCAGCAGGTCTTAAGTTAGGTCAGTATAACCTCAAATAAACTGTAAAACATAACTAATTTCACTGTTATTAACAAAAATAAGCTGATAAACAAATTCAGTCAATGAACTGATCATCAGCAAGTGTGTGTGCACCTCTGCATGTATTATCACAATGCCAAGGAGGGAAGACAAAAGCAACGACTTGGAGAAGCAACCGTTGCTGTCCATCAATTTGAGAAGGGTTGAAAGTTTCCAAACAATTTGATGTCCATCATTCTACAGTGAGAAAGATTATTCACGAGTGGAAAATATTCAAGACAGCTGCCAATCTTCCCAGGAGTGAACATCCCAGCAAATTCTCCCCCGAGGTCAGACTGTGCAATGCTCTGACCAGAAACTGCAAAAAATACAAATATAACATCTCTGACTTTACGGGCGTCAGTTGGCGTGTTAAGACTGAACAAGTATCACTTGTGTGGGAGGATGGCTAGCCGGGAAGCCTCTTATCTAAAAAGAACATGGCAGCAAAGTTGCATCTCAACTAAAGCCACAATACTTCTCGAACAACGTCCTTTGGAGAGACGAGACCAAAGTGGAGGAAACAAAACACAGCATAGCAGCACAAACACCTCATAGCAACTATCAAGCAAGGTGGAGGAGGGGTCTCCTCACCATATTGTGTGACGATCTTCTGACAACTAAAGCTTGTCTAAAACTGGACCAGGACAGTGATCACCAGCATGCAGCAATCTATAACAGAATGGCCCAATCAAAGAACAGATCTCAAACTGATTGAAATGCTGATTGAAACCTTAACAAATGCACACAAACAACAATAACCTGAAGCAGCATTTGTAAGAAGAATGGGCCAGAATTCCTCCACAGCATGTGAGAAACTGATGAATTGCTTTGTGTATGACTTTAAGTTGTTGAAGGTGCTTCTAGGACAGTGGTTCTTAACCTGGGTTCGATCGAACCCTAGGGGTTCGGTGAGTCAGTCTCAGGGGTTTGGGCAGAGCCTCCGCCGTGACATGCATGGCTCATTTTGTGCACCAGTAAAAAACATATCTACGTCTTGAATTTGAAAAAAAACATATTTTATTTTTCACTAAAGAGGGGTTCAATGAATTCGCATATGAAACTGGTGGGGTTCGGTACCTCCAACAAGGTTAAGAACCACTGTTCTAAGACCTACTGAGTCATGGGATGTGCTTAGTTTTTCACACTATAACATAGACCACAAAGGTCAGCACCAAAGACACAAGTGAAAACGCCAAGTCTTCCAGTAGCTTCCTCCTTTTGTATGTTTCAGGAGACAAAACAAGGGTTCCTACTCTTTACAGCAGCCTTTAGATGAATTGACAGTTCTCAACATGATCTCCTCAGCGCACATTATTATTAGCCCCAGATCAATTGTCTCTTTCAGACACCAACAACTGTGTGGGCAGATAAAATGTCATATCATTGGTCTTAAAGCAGTATCTGTATATTGCTTCTGAACAGTTTCTTTGAATTGTCATTTATTTTTTTGTCACGTAACGCTGCAGTCATGTTTGATGGGCTGATAGTAGCTTACTGGCTGAAATGACGGAGATGGAGATAACTAAAGTGGAAACCACCACAGAGCTTGACATGACAGTGCTGCTGTTTTTATGTAAATGTAAAAAAAACAACTTAAGTTTTCCATTCTCAGTTTCTACTGCTTCTCTCCTCCTTTGTCTCAAAGCATTAAGTGCATCTGTCTTCCTCCTCCTCTCACTCTGTCAATTTAGTGTTTTTGACAGGTTCAAGTTTTTATGTGTAGCTGTGAAGTACAATGTGAAGGTTTTACCATCACTTTAGATATTTCACATGCTTCCACCTCCCATGGGGACGTTATGAAGAAAATCCAGAAAGACTGTATCACTTTATATATAAAGTTTTAGTAAATAGTTTGTTCGCGACCCTCTTTTGCTGCGATTCTTATTTTTTCCCCGTCTCATTTCATCTTTATTTCCTCCTTTTCCGTTTCAACATCCTATTTCAGGTGCTGAAGTCTCTTCCCCGCATTGACGGTCGACCTGGTGCCTCTCTGCCACCTATGGACTTCAAGTCCCTGGAAGACGGCCTGCGAGCCACACACGGGGATGACATCACCCCTGAGGATGTGATGTCAGCAGCCATGTACCCCAAGGTGTTCCAGGAGTTTAAGGAGTTTACTGGTGAGTGGACCGACTGGAAATAAACTGTAGGGTTTATGAGACTTATTTTTTTCCTGTTTCCATTTTTGTAATTTAACTGCTGTGTGAAATGTGTGTTTATTCACACTGCATTCGTGTGATTAAACAAGTCTTAGTTTGTGGTATGTTGTTCTCATTTGTGTTACTACTGGGGCTTGAAATTGGTACCAGCAAAACTTGGGTCAGGAACGCAGAGTATAAAGTTGACCCATTTGGTACAAATATTTTTGTTGTGTTTGGAGAGAGAAATCATTGTAATTCCAACTTGGTCTAAAGGCACAAGCTTGGAGCAAGAAATGACTAATGTAGCAAATTCAACAATAAAGGTTACATATGAATCAGATTTAACTGGAAGCAGTTTGAAGCCGCTGCGTGGATTGACCTGAGTTTAATTATTTTTTTTGTGGAGTTAGGACGTTGTAAGCTGTTAGTCTGGCGTTGGCTCTATGTGAAGATTTTTAATTAATGTGCAGTTGTTCCTTCAATAGCGGGCTGGGCTCTATACAACCCTTAATCTAATGTGAACACTCATTCTTTTATGAGTGTGTTTCGTATTTACGATATTTACCAAAACAAGCCAGTTTTTAAAGCTGGATATTCTGCAGTTTCTCCTGTGTGGTGTGATGAAAATGAGCTATTATTTAGTGGGAGTTTAATAAAAGGCACATATCCGGGGCCTGTTCTCCATATCTAAATTTATATTTTAGTCTAATCAAGCTGATAGGAGTTTGGCTTGATCCCAGATCATCCAGTGGATGTAAAGTCAATCCTACACGGCAGCGAGTTTAATTACGCAAACAAGATTAAATGATTAAACCGAAGCTGTGGGATTCTTCCTGGAGAGCATTTCAGGGCGATCGATTGGACAAATATCAAAATCCTTTTTCCTTTCTGATTCTTTAACTTCAGAGATTAATTTAAGTTGGAGGGACCTGGTTGTGGCTAATTTGCCAACATCCGGGGAAAATGTGGGATTTCCTCCGCCTGCCCATCAACAGTTGTGGATGAGTTGCAGTAATTACAGCGAGAGAACATCTGATGAACTTTACCTAAAATCAAGTCACTGCTGCTGCACCATGTCATTGTGCTCTAAACAAATCAGGATAGAAGATCTTTGTTCTGTTGACCTGTAAAAATATAGCATATGGATTTAAAAAATAGTTCTTGAAAGTAAAAAGGTGTTTGCGTTTTTACTTTGTGACTGACTTTTATGACTCGTAAGCATAAAGATGTAATGCAGTTCTTTTTATTTCTTTTTCACATTTTAGATCAGACGTTTTTTGATTTTTTTTTTTTTTAAACCTCATCTTTTCTTATTTCTGTTGATGTTTTCACTGTCAGTGTGAATCATCTCAGTAAGTTCCTGATAGAATCATAGATTTGCTGGTCGTGGTTTCCAGTGTCGATATGTTTCCCATTTGAATGACCACAAGAGTACACCATCAGTTCGGATGATTGAATTCGGCCTGGCTAATCTAATTCTCTTGTGGCTCTGAAGAACCAAACAAGCGTTATCAAGATTACTGATCCTGGATCAGGGAGCTGATCTCTGAACTTTTTTAACTGATGTGCAGAGAACTGGCGCCGACACAGTTTCTAACAAAAACAGCATTTCCTGTTTTCTTTTTTCAGCCAACTTTGGCCCAGTGGATTGTCTCAGCACCAGGCTGTTCTTGGATGGACCCAAGATTGCGGAAGAGTTTGAGGTAAGTAACCACTTACACCTTTCTCACTGTTTTTACATCACTAATCTTCTCATTGTTTTTCCTGCCACGGCTTTGTTAGCTTGTTTCGCTCACAATATCGTCTCTAACATGCATGAAACACCACACGGACACATAAACGAGGTTAAAAACTTTGTGTTTTTTTTTCTCCCCCTATTGAAGCAGGATTTCAACAGTCACTGAGTAAATGTTCTTGGATTCAGTTAGCTGATGAGAAATGACTTGAGTTAAGTAGAGTTCATTAAATGAGTTCTTTTCAGCCTAATTCTTGTGCATTCAAAGCCAACCTTCATAGGATATTAAAGGATATTAAATAAATAAATGCTAACAATGCACAAAAACCCCTGCTGTCTGTGGACACCTTTTATCATTTGCTTTTTCTTTTGGAGGGGAGTGGGGTGAAGAAAAGTGCACGTTAGATTCAGCGCTAAGTGTACTTGTTATTGTTAAGTAACTGTCACTAATTGTATCATAATACATTTAATCTTAATTCCTCTAATGGCCCAATTTTATCTTTAATTAACTCTGATGTTTTAACAGTTTAATAAAGAAAAGGCGTTATCTGCAGGAAATGATCTGTCCGTCAGTGCGGATGACTGAGGTTTGATTCGGTTTGGTGCAGTCACAGTGAAGTGCTGATAACACAGTGGGAGGACGGAGATATTAACAATTTACCAGGGGAACAACAAACAGGATTTCTGATCCCTGTGGGCAGCAGATTGGCCTTCTTGCACTGAAATAGCAGATTACTTTAGTTGTATGATGTTTGAGACGAGGCTTGTGAAAACTACTGGGACCAACATGTCATGCCAAAAATTTTAACTGGTGCTGACTTGTAAAGATTATAGTGTTCGCTTAATCTGCAGCAGAGAGGCAGCTGAACAGTGCAGTCAGAAGAAGCAAAATACATGAGTTGAATCATTTTGCATGTAAGTACAGGTAATAACTGGCTGTCACCTAGTTTCTGCCACTTTCATGATGTTACACGAGTAGAATCAGCAGGATGGAGAAGAGTTTAAACTTTAATAAATATGCAGTCAGCAGAAATAATGTCAGGTATTTGCCGTGCTTATTAAACAGTTCTCTATGAAAAGGAGACGGCATGTTTAAGGACACTGGTTTGTTTTTTATTCTTTTTTTTCCATTACTCATAAACACTTTGAGTAAAACTTAGCCTAAAATGATTGTTGAAGTTCAGATTGAAGAGCAGATTAGAGTGTGATGTAGCTGCTGACAGAAACTTTTGCTACAAATGTCACAGTCGCATCTGATCACAGAGAAGCGTTTTCAGATGGATTTGGTCTGTTAACGTAATAAAACTGTATTAATAACCTTTTGTTGTCCTTCAAAATCTATCCTGTAATTTTACATGAGGTTAGACATGATTTTGCCAGATCATGTAGGAAGATGAGCGACTCGGTATTGAGGAATACAAATGGTACTCTATTAGATTTCTCTGTCCCTAAAGAGTAAACTCACTCGGATACAAACAAAACTATTATTAGTTGTAGTTTAGTAATGGACTAGAATAGTAAGAGACTTCAGTTTGGGTGAAGAGGTGTGGTTGTACCTCTGACCAGATGGCATCAGTACAAAACAAGTGAGCAGGAGGTGAGGCAGGGCAGAGATGTGTGTGACATTTTATTTCTTTTTTAACTTCACAAGGTCTGTAGTGACCTTGTGAAGTATTTTTGTTGCTGCTTTTTTTATGACTTCTATAAAAAGATGATTAAGATTTGCAGCCCTTCCTGTGTTTTTGTTATTTAACTTAACTAAACCTACACGCGTGACAATTACACGTTAACCTTGTGAAGTGTAAAATGAAGCTGATTATAACAACATAATGAAACTGAACTGATTCCTGTCACCTTGATAAATTGAGGAAACCTGAAAACCTGCGGACTTTGGTATTACTGTAACACTGTAACTAAAATGTTAGTGTTACAGTAACACTAACTAAAATGTTACAGTTAAAATGTTAGTGTTACAGTAACACTGTAACTAAAATGTTACAGTTACAGTAACACTGTAACTAAAATGTTACAGTTAAAATGTTAGTGTTACAGTAACACTGTAACTAAAATGTTACAGTGTTACAGTAACTCCACCCTAATCTCAGCTATTAGTTCGACTACTATTCTGAAGCCTTGAGTTTGGTATTTTTAGCTGTCACCTTGTTGGTTTTTTGGATTTATGTAGAAACCAGGGACCATTCATGGAATTATGGTGGTGACTTATCTCTCACAAGAAAGCTACATTATGGCTTATTGAGTTCTCTTTGTCTGCTTTGCTAGGGGGCATAATTTCCCAAAAGGACACTACAATGTATTAAAGAATTAAAACAAACAAGAATATACTGATTAGGAAATGTTTACTGAGGTCTGAAATAATAAAAATACAAGTATGCCGTATGCATTTTCTCATAATGGATTGGTACTAAGGATCGCTCACCTAATCACACACCTTCATACAAGCTCTTTCTTCTGCGCTACCCTCCTGCTGTATTATATAACAATCACACATACTCATCAGTTCGACCCGCTCTACCACCTGAGCCACAGCTACATCATAAACTTCTATACAATTAAATTTGCCGTTGCAGCTGGAGGAGTTGCCGTCTGCTGTCTGTGCAAGCATTTGGTGTACAGGATCTATACTAAAAGATTTTTTTTTAATCCCCTAAATGTGCTTCAAATTTAATATTTCAAATTAAATATAACTAAGAAATCTTAAACTACATGGACAAAATATAGCCAGCTAACTAAATCAGCAGTCAGTTCGTCGGTACTTGCAGTCGCCCTGCAAAATGAGTCACTGAAAACCTTTAAATCCATAAACACATTATTTTAACTCCTTTTACATATTTTTTTTTCTCTAAATATGAAAAAACCTCCAGTTCTCTTGTAGAAATTGTGTGTGTACAGCCTCCTGTTGTGTTTTGGTTGAATGTAGTTGGAGGCTTTTCAGAAGTATTCATGCTCATAAATATGGGTGTGTTGTAGAGAAACCCCACAGATTTATTTTCCATGGTGTCTTAAAATCTACTTTTTAAGTCTCATCTTGTGACGTGCATTGAGAGTGTGTGATATCCTGCTGCAAGCTCAGTGAGTAATCGGCCTCCTCTCCCCTCAGCCTTCATACATCACCCTTATTTTGTTTTCATATGTTAAACTAATTGTCTATATAGTACATATTTCTTTCATAAGGGTTCTTTTCTGTACTCTACATCAAACTCTAATCTTTTGACGAGTATTAAAATTCCAGTATATTCCTAACAGCCTTCATACATTATAAATCATCTGATCCTCCTGCATCTTTTTCTTCCTTTCAGAAATTCCTCTTCATTCCCTCAGTATGACTGCCGCACACAGATCCGACTGACAGTGATTCAGAGCAGTGAAAGGCAACCATGTTTAATTACGGCTTCATTTCAGTGCAGCAAAATGTTTCCAGGCTGGTGTTAATTGATTTTTATATTACCGGAGACATAGGAAGCACTACTACCCTCCTGCTGTATTATTAGGAAAAATCCACTGTGCTCATTTAGTATTGACCCTAAAGACTCGCAGCTCCACCTCATCCACCCAAATCATTTGATGCCTCGAGTTAGAATTCTGTAAGGAGACCCAGACCCAGACCCCTAACCACAGATCAGAATAAAACCTTCAAACATTTGATTAAGCCTAAGCAGTTTTAGCATGTAATTATTTGCTTTGAATTTGCAGTTTGGGATACATTGTTCAGCTCCTTTCACACTCGGCAACATACTAAATAGTCAGTGTGAATAGCAAGAAAAAAAATCTGCAATTTTAGAGGAAGAAAAGCAAAAACTATCAATAATCAGCCTTGCCTATTGCTGTATCGACTTTCCTTCCATTTAAATTGATTTCCTAACTGTCTTTCCTTTAAACTGAAGACTTCATATACACAGCCCATCTTAGCTTTCAATGATTCTGTTTGCATTTTTCCTGCCTAAGTGTCTGTCATTCACACTTACCGACTGCACTGATGTTTCTTTCCAACCTCAGCTGTCACCTCGCCTTGCTGCTGTTTATCTAATCTCCTCTCCGTCAGAGCTATTGTCGGTTTTTTTGTTGTTTTTTTTAACTTTCACTCAGTTTTGTGCTCAACATCAGTCTTTGCCACAGAAACGAGCCTGCCCCTGTTGTCATGACGATGGGCACTTTCATCAGATCGGATCCGATTAGCGGTGCCGAGCAAACCGTGGAATGAAAACATGTCAAAGAGTGACCCGTCGTAAGGAGAGTGAGTCACCTCACGGAGGCTAAAAGACTAGAACGACTGATTTCAGTTGTGTCATTGCTGTTTCACTGAATTTAAGCGTAAATTGTTACTATTGTAACTGGAGTTCTCTGGAGTTGGCATGGTTTTAAATTGCGCATATCGACAGTGAGACATTGTGCTATCGGCTAAATTCGCTTTTTTCTTCCTATATTCTTCAGGACATACCGTCTGATACATAATGCATTAGTTTCCTTAGGTGCCGCGTGCCTTTATGTTTGAAAGCCAGAGTTATCACCAGTGAAATATTAATAACCTGGCAGTGGAGCACCTATCAAAGCAGCACTGACAACGTTAACAGACAGGCAGCCGTCACTGGGGGGAGTTTTGAGTTGCACGAGTTCCGGACGAATTGACTTTTTGGCCATGTGAGATGTTGCATTTGATGAGACTCTGACAGCTTGAGTGTTAAGTTGGAGATGGACTGCGTGGTGGCCAAATGAGTGACGGCAACAAAAAAAAGTCCAGTGCACAGAAGAGTTGGTAGCATCATGTCAGTTTGTGACAGTTATCAATTGGTGTTCGTAGCTTTGGCCGTACTGACTAGTTTGTAGAATTACAGTAAGTTCTGTGAAAGCAGAGAAAAACCCAGAAAAACAGGAAATGGTTAGTTTTTAGCTGGAGCTTTGTAGGTGCTTCTGGCAAATCCGAGGTGATAGCTGTCAATACACATGACTTTTGCAGTGCAGATGTATTATTAACTGTGTTCTTGTAACTGACAGTGTTTATGAGCTTTTGGCAGAAAGTCTGTAAAAGACACAAAGTCTTGATCAAAAATGATTTAGCCAGCACATCTTTTAGAGCTCAGCACTAGACCCAAAGCCTGCAGCAGCTGATGTTGTGAAAATCGGATATAAAGGCTTTCACTGTAATCATATATTGTTCCGCACTTCCCATCAAGGTTGTTGGAAATCTAGCGAATAGGCCAAGAAAGGAAAGCGAGCCTCAAACATTTGTTCTGAATATTGTAGGGAACTATGATCGGATTTTTTATTTATTTTTCAGTCTGCTGTCATTGGGTTTCCTGCTGAGTCCTGCTGAGCTGGCCATTTACACATGTCCCTCTTATAAGAGAAGTTACCACTTTGGAGAAAAACAAACATCTGATGCCTTTTTTAATGTGCACACATACATAAATATACACCTACTCACAGGTTACTGGTCAGTCCATAGCAGTCATGCAACCGCACATGCATACAGCACTAAAAAGAGGCGGAGGGCGACATCGCCTTACGTGTATCTGGCATGTGCTGATGATTCAGTGTGCTATTAATCATGTTTGACAGAAATATAAACACAGATTTTCACAAACACGGAGTCATTTATTTACCGACCATCACCGCTAATGTGCGCAGACACCGACACATAATCTCATTACTGTCACGGGCGACACAAGTCATTATAAAGTCGCATCAAAGACATCGTGTTAAGCAGAAAGGGAAACTTGTTTAACGCAGGGATGTTATAAACAAAAATGGCTAAGCAGGTGAGTCTGACAGGAGGCTGCATGACTGGTGCGTAAAGGCAAGAAGAGCACTAATGTGTCGCTGGTTTAGAAGAGATTCATGATGTGTGTATGTGAGACACAAAAACCAGTATAGTGGTAAGAAACCAAAGCAGGAAGCAGCTGAGTGTTTGAGGGTTTGCTCTAAAAGTATTTTATTGGCTTTAAAACCATCAATGTAGTTTATCTGATGTTGTTAAGTGCAGAAGAATTCGTTATACATACTACTTCTAAGAAGGTCCTAAATCTGAGGTGTGCAGTTAAAGTCAGTATACCTACTAAAACAACTTCTCTTGCTTATCTGAAGACTGTAGGTGGTTAACTGTGAAACAATAGAAGAGGTGTAATGTAGAGAAGCTTATGCAACAAAGGTGGCGGCTGCAGACAGCACACAGAAGTGTTGGATTTTATAGTTGGTTATACATTCACATCTCTAACAAAATAATCAAAAGATTCATAAATGGTTAGAAACTCTTCTTATATGCAGTTAGTGTTTTATATAGGAACGCCTGAGAGGAGATGTAGTGTAGAAGACACACAGATGGAAAAAGGTAGGCAGCTGTGTTTTTTGCAAAGCACTGTCAAGGGCCTAACAAAACAGCATCAGCTGCAGAGAAGTTTAGTGTAAAGGAATGTGAAGAAGAGAGAGACAGAAGGCAAAAGCTTGCAAAGAAAGAGTCGGAGCACCCAGAGAAAGAGAATAAAATTAAGATCAATACATATCTGCAGCATCGTGTATTTTTGTCTTTGCGCTGAGGTTTAGTTTGGAATATCAATGGATGCTCAGCAGCTCAGATGGCAGTGTGGGGTACGAAGGGAAGCATAAACAAAGTAGGAGAGGCGGAGAGCTACACAACAGATAAGAGAAGCCGAAAGAGGCAGATGATGGAAATTAATAATGGCATGAGAGTCGCAGTGGCCCCAGAAATAGGTAACAAAATGACAATACAAAATAGAAAGCCGTGACACATGGGAGGACTGACAAAGAGCGAGATTGAAAGCCAGAGAGAAAAAGTTGGACAAATAGAAAGACGGGGAAAAATGAGTTTCCACCCAGTGAGATGAGAGATTTGAGAAGGGCTGTGAGATAAATGAAGAAGTAGAGCGGCTGGTGTCGAGGGGAAGACCGGCAAGCCAGAAAGCACGACTGACCAGAATTGATATGAGAAGGTGGTCGACCTGCTTGTGCTTCAGAGATGAGGCGTCTGTCTTAAGACACACTCACAGGTAGCAAACAACAGAGTTAACAGCTGTGCAAAAGACAGGAAGCATTTTTT